TCACACAGTAACCCTCTGCAGGATCCAAGCCACATTAGGAGCAGTGTTCCACGCTTGTACCTCAAAAATGGCTCTACTAGTGTTTCAGAGAAAATGGCTGTACTAGTGTTGTCTTTACGACTGGCTTGTTTCTGTTCACTTGAGGGGGAAGCACCATGCATGTTTTCAAGGGCATTTTAGCAACAACAATGTAAATGTTTTACTTTTGTAGTTGAACAAAGAAAACAAGACTCTGAAAAGAATCAGTATGTTATATATGGCAAAACTGGGGCCAGATATTATTACTGAAGAAATCAACATCGATGATGAAGAGTCATCCACAGATATAGAAGGCAGTCCTGTTGCATGTGACTCAGTGCAGTGCCAGCAGCTAATAAAAGGTGAGTCCCCTAGAGAATGCGTTGGTTAGCCTTTTATAAAAAGAGTATGACTAATGTAGAACAAGTTGCTTTGTAATAAGGAAGTGGTGCTGCAAAAGAGGCTGTTGTTTTTGTTAAGTCATCAAAGTGAGTAATCCCCCTTTCCCAGAGCATAGTATGCTGATACTTGGCTATTCATTAATGATATGGAAAGTTTCAGGGTTGCTTCACAAGTAACTAATTCTGCTATGTGGATGCTACTTCTGTGTACAAAATAGTATGTGCCCTGTGTGTGCATTATAACTTAGGAGCAGTGTTCCACGCTTGTACCCCAAAAATGGCTCTACTAGTGTTTCAGAGAAAATGGTTGTACTAGTGTTGTCATTACGACTGGCTTGTTTCTGTTCACTTAAGGAGGGGGAAGCACCATGCATGCTTTCAAGGGCATTTTAGCAACAATGTGAATGTTTTACATTTGTAGTTGAACAAAGAAAACAAGACTCTGAAAAGAATCAGTATGTTGTATATGGCAAAACTGGGGCCAGATATTATTACTGAAGAAATCAACATCGATGATGAAGAGTCATCCACAGATATAGAAGGCAGTCCTGTTGCATGTGACTCAGTGCAGTGCCAGCAGCTAATAAAAGGTGAGTCCCCTAGAGAATGCGTTGGTTAGCCTTTTATAAAAAGAGTATGACTAATGTAGAACAAGTTGCTTTGTAATAAGGAAGTGGTGCTGCAAAAGAGGCTGTTGTTTTTGTTAAGTCATCAAAGTGAGTAATCCCCCTTTCCCAGAGCATAGTATGCTGATACTTGGCTATTCATTAATGATATGGAAAGTTTCAGGGTTGCTTCACAAGTAACTAATTCTGCTATGTGGATGCTACTTCTGTGTACAAAATAGTATGTGCCCTGTGTGTGCATTATAACTTGTGATTAATACACATGTGATTTATTTTACAAAGTATGTCAGTTGCAGTTAAGTTCTGATGGGCAACAAGTTACTAATGTTTTTGTGTAGTGGAGCAGACAACAAACACCCAGTTCTGTTTGACTAAAGGCCAACTGTAGGGTAGGCAAGTTGGCATTTGGAATAAGGAATAACAATACTTAACTAAACTGTTTCTAGAGCTGCAGATTATTAGTAGGCTTTGCAGATTATTAGTCTGCAGATTATTAGTAGGCTTTGCACTCCTGCAGGCTGAGAAGTGCTGAGTCCCTCCTACTCTTCTGCATGCTCTGAGGCCTACTGGGATCGCTTCTTAAAGAAACAGTACACAAGAGAAGTGTGTGTGTACACACAGTTTATATGTCTCCATTCAAAAGCACAGACAAGCCCAATCCTTTTGCAGTTGTGTGTTGCAAGTATTTTGTGCATAAAAAGTATATTCGAAAGACTTCAGGACCCTTCATAACCAAATGTAGTATGTCCACGCTTTGTACTCAAGCTACCTGTATGCATGTACAAAAACATTTTGTGGTAAGAGCCTCAGTCTGCATCATGGGTGTTTTTAATACAGATGCTACAGATCTGCACTGAAGGAGAATTCTATAGGCAGACCTATGGTTGTATTCTCTAACCCCATACTCAGACCTTTTTTTTTTTTGCCATCAAGTCACAGTTAGGGTTTTCCAGTATGGTTGCCAGGTCTGTTGGACCCACTGGTGGTGGTGGGGTTTGAGAGGGCATTCCAGGAGTGGAAAGTGAGGTACCTGAAAATAAACGTGATGTGCCTATGTCACCCAGAAGTGACATAGGCACATCAGGAGCAATGCTCGGGTTTTGGGGCAAAACTGTATGGTAAAATTGGCTTCAAACCATAGAGTTTGCCTGAAAACTAGAGCATTGCTACCCAGCGTCACTGACGTGCCTACAACACTTCTGGTTGACGTAGGGACGTTGTGCCTACTTCCTGCTTCTTCTCTCCCTGCTTCCTGTAAGTCATGATTATTTCAAGCTTGGGGAGGGGTCTAGCATCCCTTTACCCCCACTTTCTGATAGCCATGAAATGGGGGGGCTCCAAACCAGGGGATCCCCACCCCTCAACTGGGGACTAGCAACCTGATTTTCAAGGCAAGAGATGTTCAGAGGTGGTTTGCCATTTCCTGGCTCTGCATAGCAACCCTAAACTTCCTTGGTTGTCTCTTAAGTACTAACCCAGGCCAATCCTGCTTATCTTCTGAGATCTGATGAGATCGGGCTAGCCTGGGCTATTCAGGTCAGATCACATTCAGAGTGACTTCCCCCCTCCATAAAGACATGAATATGATTTTAGGATTTATGATGCAAGATAGTATTCTTTGTTTTAGATTTTGATAATCAAGAAATAGGTTTAAAGAGACCCCACTACTGTTTACTGTTCTGTCAGCAAATGTTAAGTTGTGAAAGTTCAGATAACGCCAGAAAGTCTTTGGGGATCCCTGGAAAGTTGGCAACCCAAGGGTCTGGCCTACACAATATTCTCTACCTCCAGAGGTTGTGGGCTCACCTGTACTTCAGCCTCTCTCTTGCCCAAGAGAGCAGGGAAACCTCCATTCATTCCCCAGTCCAGCCGACTGTGGAGTGGTTGAATTTCTGCTGCCTCCCAGGGACAAAGACTGCCTTGGGACAGTCCCTGTTTTCCCGCACTTTTTGAGCTTGGAGCAGCTGGGAACTGTGGGCCAGCAGATGAGGAAGCCCCATTCAACCCAGTGAGTGATACCCCTGTAGGCCCCTCTCTGGAACTACAGCTCAATTACATTTTATGGGGGAACATTTTAAACAAAGAACCACAGCCATCTTACAAACACAGGTAACTGCCATTTCATGACCTACCAACTGCCACTGAGGGGTTAGTCCCATACAGGAAAAGCATCTTCGTCAAGAGAGAAAGCCGTTTGCCAGTAATTCTGACAGGGCACAGTGGCTGAAGGGGGAGTGGGCAGGGAAAAGGAGCAGACCCGGCCAATGGCACGCGAGTACTCTTGAGTGGTGGCTGACGAGCCAAGGGCTGAGGGAGAGCATGGAATCTTGCCACCCCAAAACAGGATTATTATATAGGAGAGATGCCATGAATGCTGGCCAAACTAGATGTGACTTTTTAAACATTAGGTCAGGGTTCTCCAGAGTGCACATGCAGCCCCTCAGTTGGGTAAATACTTCCCCCTGGGGCAGGGTGGTAAAACATGCAAGGGAAGGCTGATGTCCCTTCTTCTCCCACACCATGGTCCCTGATACAAATTGAATCCCAGCACTTCTGTTTGAGGGGAATGAGGATACCCTGACCCATCTGGTTAAAAAAGTCACATCTAGTTTGGCTCTATGTTACAGATTTTTGTTTATCACATGGTTTAATGCTTTGAAACTCCCTATGGGGTGATGGCGAAAATGGTTTGTGACCTACCTATGTGTTTTCAGGAGCTGTGTCACTGTATTATAAGGCAAAGGACAGCATAATGCATGAATGGTCTTCCAAATAAGGTTTTGGAACCAACAAATAAGTTTTGAACAAAAATAACATTTCCATTTTTCATTGGCAGGAGTAGATGGAGTAGATGGTCTAGAAGTAGATGGAGTAGATAGACCTAGACTGAGAGAGGCCTACCTTCCTACACAACAATATTGAGCCCTTAAGCCTATGAATTTGCTGTAAAAAAAGGACAAAGGACTAGACAAGGGAAACTAACCGATAAACCAGCGTGTAATGATATCTGTCTCTGAAGCCAGTTAGATGACACCTCACAAGCACACCTGCACTTTTAATAATTTAAGAACCTATTGATGAGTGATACCTCGGCTTTTCTACCAGTGTTTTTTGTCTATGCTTACTGTGTATGTTTCGTCCCCAATGCAAAATGATCTCTGATCACTACCACTTTTGAAAATGTAGATCTGCGAGATCAAATTATATCTCTTCAGGAGGAAAAGAAAAACATAGTTATCGAACTGGAAAACCTGAGACGCAAATGTGCAGAAGACACTGTAGAAGTAAGTATTGCGGCAAGATAATAGAGAGTCAAAGACTAGGTCTGAATTTTCTTTACCTTTTTTTAGAGTACAATGATCCATGGGTGACTTTAACTGCTGTCCAACAGAATAGATTTATGAGCCCTGTGAACAACTTTTTTATAGTTCTATTGGACACTTCATCTCCCAAATTTCTGTCCGCAATTATATAGTTATCTGCAGGTATCTAGAAAGCACAATATGGTAAACATTAATTTGTCCTGAAACTGGAGGATTCTGGTGGGTTGTCCTGATTTGTAACTGGCAGACCTTTAGTGAACCTAGGGCGTGGGACTTCTTTCGAGGCTGTGGGCGAACACCACCCAACAAACTTGCTCTAGACCTTCCTGTATGATTTTGGGGTCCTGAGTGAGAGACCATTTAACCAACAAAGGGAGTGGATGGTAGAGGCCATGGAGCCAGAGAACACTTGCTTTGCAAAGAGACAGATGAGCAACTTCCACCTTCTCTGCATGATGCCACTGTACCATGCTGAGAGAAGTTATAGCCATGACTGTAGCCTTGTGTTTATTTGGGGTGTGAAAAAAAAAAGTCTGATCCAAATTAGTTGGAAAATCCAAAATGGTTGGAAAACCTTTTATAACATTTATTTATTTATTTACTTCGAGAATTTGGATGCTTCCTCTCCAAAATCTGCTGAAATCACAGCTCTTTCAAAAATTGGACTGGAATAATATGCAAAAACATTGGAAAATAAGACCCATTTAAATAAATGGAACATATGTAAGATTAAACATGTTTAGGATTGTAATGTTACCTAGAACAAGGATGGGCAACAACTTCTTCCAGGAACTTGCTATGCATTAGGAGCACCTCAACAAGAATATACTGTTACTGTTTTTGGAACTTTGGGCCAATCTACACATTATATCTATCATGTGATCACCATGGAGTCTTGCAGGAGAAAGCCAGCTGCATGTTTCCCGAAGTGCCACAGAGTCTTGATTCTGATCTTATTCTGGGATGAGAGGATTGGTTCTCTTATGGATTAAAAATTGGTTAAATGACAGGAATAAAGAGTAGGAATAAAAGGACAGTTCTCGCAATGGAGGGAAGTCATCGGGGAGGGGGTCTGACAAACATTGGTATTGGGGCTGATGCTTTTTAATTTGTTCATAAATGATGGAACTGGGGGTGAACAGTGTAGTAGTTAGGTTTGAAGATGATACAAAATTATTCAGGATGGTTAAAACCAAGGCTTATTGTGAAGAGGAGGAGGATTTTCACAAATGGAATGAGTGGGCAGCAATGTGGTAAATGATGCTCAGTGTTAGTAAGTATAAGGTGATGAACACTGAAAGAAAAGAAACCAAATTCAAGTATATGCTAATGGCATCTGTACTTGCTGACACTGAGAGAAGAAGGTTGGATATATACCCTACCCTTCACTCAGAGTCTCAGAACAGTTTACAATCTCCTTTCCTTCCTCTCTCCACAACAGACACCTTGTGAGATAGGTGGAGCTGAGAGAGCTCTGAGAGAACTGCCCTTAAGAGAACACCTCTGAGAAAACTTTGACTGACCTATGGTCATCAAGCTGGCTGCATGTGGAGGAGTGGGGAATTAGAGTCCTCCGCTCTTAACCACTACACCAAACTAGAAAGAGACCTTGGGATTATAGTGGATAGCTTAATGGAAACACCAAGCAGTATGCTGGAGCAGTGAAAAAGGCAAACTCTATTCAGGCAGTTATTAGGGAAGGCATTGAAACTACATTGGTCAATATTATAATGTCCATGTACAGATCTATAGTGTGGTTTCATTTAGAATACTGTGTGTAGTTCTGGTCACTGTATCTGAAAAAAGATATTGCAGAAATGGAAAAACCACAGAAGCACCCAAGATGATTCAGAACCCCCCCCCCCATGCTACAGTCCCAATCCAAATCACGCCCCTGTAGTGCTTTTAAATCAAGTTTCCACAGGGAACTCACAGCTGGTGTCATAAGAACATAAGAGAAGCCAATGTTGGATCAGGCCAATGGCCCATCCAGTCCAACACTCTGTCACACAGTGGCCAAAAATACCAGGTGCCCTCAGGAGGTCCACCAGTGGGGCCAGGACACTAGAAGCCCTCCCACTGTTGCCCCCCCCCCAGCACCAAGAATACAGAGCATCACTTGCCCCGGATTTCCTATCTATACCTTATGGCTAATAGCCACTGATGGACCTCTGCTCCATATGCTTATCTAATTCCCTCTTGAAGCTGTCCATGCTTGTAGCCACCACCCCCTCCTGTGGCAGTGAGCTCTATCCCATGCATAATCTTATGAACCTTGATCATGTCACCCCTCAGCCGTTGTTCCTCCAAGCTGAAGAGCACCAAGCGTTTTAACCTTTCTTCATAGGAAAAGAGTTCCAACCCTTTAATCATTCCAGTTGCCCTTTTCTGCACTTTTTCCAAAGCTATAATATCCTTTTTAAGGTGTGGTGACCAGAACTGTACACAGTATTCCAAATGAGGTCGCACCATTGATTTATATAGGGGCATTATGATATTGGCTGATCTGTTTTCAATTCCCTTCCTAATAATCCCCAGCATAGCATTGGCCTTCTTTATTGCAGTCACACACTGTCTCGACATTTTCAGTGAGTTATCTACTACAACTCCAAGATCTCTCTCTTGATCAGTCTCTGCCAGTTCAGACCCCATCAACGTGTATTTATAGTTAGGATTTTTGGCTCCAATGTGCATCACCTTGCACTTGGCCACATTGAACCCCATTTGCCATGTTGACGCCCACTCGCCCAAAATTGACAGATCCCTTTGGAGTGCCTCACAATCCTCACTGGTTTTCACCACCCTGAACAACTTCGTATCATCCGCAAATTTAGCCACTTCACTGCTTACTCCCAACTCCAAATAATTAACGAACAAGTTAAAAAGCAGTGGACCAAGTACTGATCCCTGCGGTACCCCACTGCTTACCCCCCTCCACTGAGAGAACTGCCCATTTATACTCACTCTCTGTTTTCTATTAATTAGCCAGTTTTTGATCCATAAAAGGACTTGTCCTTTTATCCCATGATTTTTGAGCTTACTTAGGAGCCTTTGATGAGGAACTTTATCAAAAGCTTTCTGGAAGTCAAGGTAAACAATATCTATTGGATCCCCCTTGTCCACATGTTTGTTCACCCCCTCAAAGAACACTAACAGGTTAGTGAGACAAGATCTTCCCTTACAGAAACCGTGCTGAGTCTGCCTCAATAGGTTTTGTTCATCTATGTGCCTACTAATTCTTTCCTTAATAATGGTTTCCACCAATTTACCCGGTATCGACGTCAGACTGACTGGCCTGTAATTTCCCGGATCTCCTCTGGAACCCTTTTTAAAGATGGGAGTGACATTAGCTACCTTCCAATCCTCAGGAATGGAGGCAGATTTTAAGGAAAGATTACATATCTTTGTCAGGAGATCTACAAGTTCACATTTGAGTTCTTTCAGAACTCTCGGATGTATGCCATCTGGGCCTGGTGATTTTTCAGTTTTTAAGTTGTCTATCAGTTTTAGGACCTCCTCTCTCATCACCTCAATCTGACTCAGGTCTTCCAACACCCCTCCTGAAATCAGTGGTTCTGGAGTGGGCAAGCACTTCTCATCTTCCACAGTGAAGACGGAGGCAAAAAATGCATTTAGCTTCTCAGCCATTTCCCTATCATCCTTCAATACTCCTTTTACCCCTTGGTCGTCCAAGGGCCCCACTGCCTCCCTGGCTGGTTTCCTGTTTCTAATGTATTTGAAGAAAGTTTTATTGTTGGTTTTTACGTTTTTTGCTATATGCTCCTCATATTCCCTTTTTGCCTGCCTGACCTCAGACTTGCATTTTATTTGCCATAGCCTGTGTTCCGTTTTATCAGCCTCACTGTGACTAGCTTTCCACTGCTTAAAGGAATTCTTTTTACTTTTTACAGCCTCCATTACTCTGTTTGTTAACCATGCAGGCTTTTTCCTATACCTGTTTGTGCCTTTCCTAACCTGCGGAATATATATTTTTTGAGCTTCTAGGATCGTAGTTTTAAATAGATCCCAAGCTTCCCCAATTGTTTTGACCCTTTCTACTTTTCCTTTCAGTTTCCTCCCCACGTGTCCCCTCATATCAGAGAAATTACCCCTTTTAAAGTTAAAAATGGTTGTGTGAGTCTTTTTGGCCAATTCTCTATTTGTACAAATGATGAACTCAACAACATTATGATCACTGTTTCCAAGCGGTGCAATCACTTTTACATCTCTCACCAGGTCTTGAGTGTTACTTAGGACCAAATCAAGGATCGCCTCTCCCCTGGTAGGTTCCGTGACCATCTGCTCCATAGCACAGTCATTTAGAGTGTCTAGAAACTCAATCTCTTTTTCCCGACTAGAACACATATTGACCCAATCAATGTGTGGGTAGTTAAAATCACCTATTATTACACAGTGTTTTTGTCTAGTTGCTATCTTTAAGGCATTCATCATTTTATAATCCTCCTCTATCTTTTGATCTGGTGGGCGATAACAAACTCCCAGTGTTAAGTTTCCTTTTGGCCCCCCTATTTCAACCCATAGAACTTCCAGAAGCGAATCCAATTCACTTAGCCTCTCAATCTTTCTAGACTTTATACCCTCTCTGACATACAGAGCTACCCCACCTCCAACCCTTCCCCCCCTATCCTTCCGATATAATATATAACCGGGAATCACTGTGTCCCACTGATTTTCCTCATCCCACCAAGTTTCAGAAATACCCACAATGTCTATTTTTCCCTCCGACACCAAGCACTCCAACTCCCCGATTTTACCTCGGACACTTCTAGCATTTGTATAGAAACAGCTGTAATTTCCCTTACAAGTTAAGCCTGCATCCTTCCTCTTGCTATCTCGAGTCGTTGTCCGGCAGTCCATGTCACCAGCCATGGCCTCTGTGGACAATTTCAATCCACCTCCCTGTAGAAAAGCAACCGGTACCCCCTCACCTCTCTCAGATGAGCCAACCCGAACCAGAGACTTTTCATCTCCTGTCGGCTTTCCCCCAATATTCAGTTTAAAAGCTGCTCTGCCACCTTTTTGATTTTAAGTGCCAGCAGCCTGGTTCCTTCTCGGGACAAGTGGAGACCGTCTCGCCTGTACAGCTCCCTCTTGTTCCAAAAAGTATCCCAGTGCCTAACAAACCTGAACCCTTCCCCCCTACACCATCGTCTCATCCACGCATTGAGACTCCTGATCTCTGCCTGTCTCTCCGGCCCTGCGCGTGGAACAGGTAACACTTCTGAGAAGGCTACCTTGGAGGTCCTGGACCTAAGTTTCCTGCCCAGCAGCCTAAATTTCTCCTCCAGGACCTCACGACTGCATTTCCCCACATCGTTGGTGCCGACATGCACCACGACCACTGGCTCCTCCCCAGCACTATCTACCAGCCTATCTAAAACACGCGTAATGTCCGCTACCTTCGCACCAGGCAGGCAAGTCACCATACGGTCAGTACGCGGGTTCGCCACCCAGCTGTCTACCTGCCTAAGGATCGAATCACCCACTACCAAGAGCCCCCCTCCCACCCTGCTCAGGGATGGTTCCTTGGTGCAAAAGGAGAGCCGCTCACCAGCTGGGGAAGAGGTCCCTTCTGAGGGCACATTCCCCTTATCCTCAGCATGGTGCCCTGTTTCCCCTAGACCCTCATGCTCCCTGACAGCAGCGGGGCTGCCAGATCCAGAGTGGGACGAAGCTAACAAGTCCCCGAGAGTCTTTTCTGTGTGCCTAGCTGACTGTCTCTGCTTCTCCAGGTCAGCCACCTTGGCCTCAAGGGAGCACACACGTTCCCTGAGAACCAGGAGCTCCTTGCACCGAGGACACACCCAAGACTTCTGCCCAGTGGGCAGATAGTCATACATGTGACACTCCGTGCAAAACACTGGATAGCCCCCAACCCCCTGCTGGCATTCTGGCTTCATAATTCTTTTAAAATAAATAAATATAATCCCCCTTTTAAACCCTTGGTATTTATGTGGGTTTTGTTATCAAGTCAAATTATTTTACGGGAAAGACAAAGAGCCTAGGGCCTTGTCTTTCTGGCTCTTTTTGGGCTTCTTACAGCGCCCCTAGTCTAAGAGTCCCTAGGCTAAGAGCCACAGGCAAAGAGCCCTTTAGCTCACCCTTCGGCTCGTGCCAGAGGCTCGTGCCTCTGCCAAGGTGCTTCCTTAAATAGAGGCCTCCCCCAGCAGAGGTCAGGCAGCAGCTATTCAAATTCAAGGCAAAGTGCTGCCTTAAATAGAGGCCTCCCCCAGCAGTGGGCGGGGCAGCAGCTATTCAAATTCACCCAGGCACTCAAGTTACATTCAAACAATGACCCTTTCTCACCCTGTCTCAAGCAACCAGGACTCTGCAACAGCTCTAATCCCTTCCACACACTCCCAAACACTATCCTCCCACACAATACCCTCAGCTAAATCCCCTCAGCTGAAAGCAAGTAAAAAACACTCACCCCTCTAGCAGCTCTGTCTCCTGATCCTTCTGAGAGCTGAGCTGGGTCCTGCTGCATGTCACCATCATGATCACATGGTAGATGTAAAGCATAGTTTGGATCTAACTTCTACTGAAAATTAAGTTTTTGTATATCATACTGGAAACTTGATAGAACTGTAGCTTTATCCCCCTGTTTCATTAAGTGCTTTGTTTTTTTTCCTGATTATCTCTATGTTGCTTGGCTCATGGTTGTTTCTTATTCTTCTAGGTAAATCATATAAAGGAAGAAAATGCAGCTCTGAAAGCTGAAGTTCATGAACAGCAGAAAGTGTTGGAAAAATGCAATCGAGGTTTGTATATGGGCTTTATATTTTCCTTCTCTTGTTTTGCTTTCTTGCTGTCAATTTATTTTTGAGAGTTATCTATCCTTAGAAACAGAAAGACCCAACACTGATAAAACCAAAAGTCAGGGAGCAAATGCGTTAGTATTGTACAATACTTAACATTTAACAGTGAAATCCAAAGGCAAGAACACATGTTATACTTAATCATGCTGCTCCCAAAATAGACTTGCTGTAATAAGTGATCTTGCCTGGGCCATACTTACTTAATCATGCTGCCCCCAAAATAGACTTGCGGTAATAAGTGATCTTGCCTGGGCCATACTTACTTCCCCACATAGGTAGTTGCTGTCATGTTGAGGGTTGTGCCCCTAGCCTGTGTTCCTGATGGCTGTTGGCAGCAGTATTTAGATATACAGTGTGATGGCTGTGACACATGAGTTAAATAATTCCAGACGGAGGTCATTGGCTGCAGTTTTGGCATACTGGGTGGTAGGCTAATGGCAAGTACAACTGGTGCTTTAGGCGTGAAGCTGCCAGAAAGGTGCTGCTTTCATCTGGTGCACGAAAGAGGTACTGTACTAATGGTTTTCACCAAAATCTCTGAAATCAAACAGACACTTAAACAAAACTAGGCATTCATCTTTGGCCTCCTGAAATTTACCTTTTTTTAAAAAAAAAAATTGTCCACTTTATTACGAATGCTATAATTCAATAGTAAGAAGACTGCTGGCCCTTTACTATGATTAAAAGGTACGTTAAATACAATCCTAAACAGCTATACCCTGTTAAGCCTATTGACTTCAGTAGATTTAGACGGGTTTAACCCTACTTAGAATTGTATTGTAAATCAACCAGCAGTGAGTCTTCCAAGAAGCCAAGAAAGCCAAATCAGTACCAGCTGTTATTTCAGGGCAATAGGCCAAGTTTTTGGAGGGAGTCCAGTCACTCAATCACCAGTTTTTTGGAGATGGGAGGTATGATCAGAAATTTTTACCACATCTCAGTGAGCACTTTGGTGGCTTTACTTATAAAATGCAAATTGAAAACTGGCTTGCTCTTCACAGTACAGAGAGCTGCTTGTAGTGCATAGGCTAAGTATAGATTTTTTTAAATTCTGTGTCATTACCATAAAAACTTACTGTTAGAGCTAAATTGTATTGCAAAATCAGGTGCTGCAAACATTCATTCAGAGAGTTTACTGACAGTATTTGCACCCTCAATTTAATTGCATGGGCAGTATAACATAGTGTGCTCAATGTCAGTTAACATTCAGGGTCATATTAGCCCACAATGTCTTACTAGTAGGTGTCGAACCTTAGTTTTGGTGGTGTTTGCTACTCACTCTATGTGTCACGTACTCAGGATCACTTCATAGATTATGTGGTGGCAAATGTGTATATGTTTCCATTTGTAAACATTGTTGCAGCCCATCCTGGCTCCTTTGCGCACATCCCAATATTATAGTTGGAAACTTGTCTGTTGCGTGCATGCATTTTTCCCAGTGAAGTTAGAGGCATACATTCGAAGGCAAGGCTCCAAACATGCATTACCCTTATTGCATAAGGAATCCTAGGAGCAAATGCCATCTCTGGAGTTCCTGGCCCTATATAGCAGCTGGAGCCCCTGCCAGATCATCAGTTTTAATCCCAGTAGTCTATTTGGAAGGGGGCTGTAGAGGGTGAGATTCAGTACCCCACTACTTGTAGACAAATGACTGACAGTGTCACCAGTTATATGCCAAGAACTATGTAGGAGCATCCCTGTGCAGGTATGCTGTTGGATCACAGTTACCATGTTTTTAAATGTACAAATAATACATTTCATGCTGCTATTTATGTTACCTGTATTGCATGATGGCCTCAGGGGACGATGATGAATAGGCTGACTACATTTGCTCCTGTGGTTTCTTGTCCAGTAAGAGTGTAAAGCCAGACACAGCATTAGAAATGAGAAATCATTCATTCCTTATAAGCCATTTCATGGAATATTCCTCAGTATCCCTATTCAGCTTTAGTTATTTATTTAGAATATTTTAATGCTACCCTGAGGCAGCTTTAATGCTTGAGGCAACTTACAGTTAAAAACCACAGTATAAAATACAAGCCTTTAAAGAAAATGCGGGACATTAGACACAAGCAGCATAAAAACTGTCCAGCAGATGATAAAGCACTAATTAAAAGTCCAAGTAAAAAAAGATGTATTTTAACCTGGCACCTAAACGAAAGTAAAGTAGATATCTGGCAAGCAGTTTTAAGGGGCGGAGGGCATTCCAGAGGCGAGATGCCACTGCAGAAAATGCCCTGTCACTAGTTGCCACTTGCCTCATCTCAGAAGGTGGAGGCATGGAGAGCAGAGCTGGACAGTATGCAACAAGATAGTCCTTCATATGGTTACCATTGTGTGGCTATCGCCACTGAAGGAAGCCTCCATCTGTCCTTTATTACATTTGCGTAGTTATTTAACTACAGAACAAGGTTGGCATTACAGTCACCACAGCAGTACTGGATGAGGGGGAATGACTCTGAATATATTATGGCCGCACCTAGCCACGGTTGGCATAATCCATGGCCTAATGGTAACGAAATCCTTTTTATTTTCCTTCCTAATCCACTATTATTCATCTTTGCCTCTTGCTATGTGTGTTGTGGTGTGTTTGGGTGTTTGTTTGTTTTGCTTTAAATAGTGTCTGTACTGGCAGTAGAAGAATATGAAGAACTACAAGTAAACTTTGAACTGGAGAAAAATCTGCGGAAGAGAGCCGAATCCTTTGCACAAGAGGTATGTAAATTGACAGGTCCTATTGACTATGTAACCATATTAGAAGTATTTTTAAATGATCTTAAGGCAAAGTTTTCAGAATGGTTTTCATAAAGGCAGTATTAGTACTTCCCCTAGTTGCATTATAACTTGAAGCAGCCACCCCCAGACTTACCTGGGCCACTTTTGCAGCTACAGGGCTGGGGACCATGTGAAGGGGAACAAATTCCTCTATGGCTCCTTGGTGGCAGCAGAGGGCCACAGCATTTGGCCCTGCAAGGGAGGAGCAGAGCTTCCGGTAGGAGTGGAAGCCAGAGCTTCATGCTAGCCCACCCCTCCTGTGTTCAGGGAGCTGTGTCCAGGGAGGGGGCCATCAGTTGGCATCTGCTTTTTAGTTGCATTGTAATTTGAAATGCGCGCAGATCACAGACAATTCACAGAAGGATACAGAGACAGATGTCTTTATAAATAAGATGGGGAACTTATGCCAGCCAGATATTTTGTCAAGATAACTAGGTTGATTTTAATTGTAATAGAACTCATATTTGTAAATTGCATATTTATCCAGTGTTGTAGATAAATCTTGGTGCTCTTAGTGAAAGTGCTCTTCATGGCTTGAAATATGAGTTTCTGGGGTTTTTTAATGAATAAAACTGTCTCTTGACTGTTTTCTCACTGTGTTTGTTTTGGGTTCTTTTCTCATAAAGTGGTGTGGAAATCTGACCTTGAGCATATTGCTGCGATTCTTTCTGTCCTTTTCTGAGTTGCAAAAAGCCTGTTTAGGTATGCACAAAGGCTTACAAGCACCAGTTTATGTTCAAAATTGAAAGCCACTTCTGAACTTCTCACAAGTTGGGGGGGCGGGTCTTATCCAACACTGTGGAAAAATGGGACTATGAAGCACCAGGGCCCATATGGAATGCACTATGTGTCTGCTGTTTTGTGTCTCTTGTATATAAACATGTACATACTGCTATTGTTCTTCCTTGCTGGTTTTTATGATTAATTGTAAGTCTGTCTTTGTGTCTATGACAAAGGTGTATGTATTAAAGTAGTAACAGTGCAAATTCTATGCACAGCTTCTCCTGTCTGAGCCCATTAATTTCAATGGGTTTAGTTTGGACTGGTTCTGTATAGGATTGCACGGTAAATGTATCATGTTTATATTCTTGGAGGGACAAATTTGAATTCTCATTCATTAATTAAATGGGAACAATGAACCAGAAAATAGTTTATAGACAGCCAAAGCCTCAGTGGTTCATACTTTGTGGCTTTATGGTGCGTGCCCAATCTCAGGAATACTAATTATATTCACTTGTTTCCTTCTTTTGAACGGTGCAGTTTCTTCATGACTAAATCATGTGCATTCAGGGATGTACAGCTCTATCAAATGTGCTGTGCATTGTACAGGAGCTAATCCTAGCAGGGTGAATGTTTTTGTGTACTGAAGTGTGTCAGGGACAGAAAAGTCAAGAGTGTCAACACAATCAGAAATGTGCTTTCGCTCCAGGGCCTGGTTGAAGACCACTGGAAAAGCCTCTTCAGTTGGTTTCAAACATTAACAACTCTTAAAGTGTTTCATGATTATTGTCTTCAAAGTCAAAGTTATTGGAAAATAACGTCCTGTGTAGGAAATAGGCATTTGCCTTTATGCTGCAAGAGATAAAAAGACCTGCCCTTGTTTTGAGAGAAAAAACACAGTGAAAACAACGTGTTTTTATGCTTTGAAATATGACTCTCTTGCTTAAATAGATTTAGTTTGATTTTTCAGAAGAGATGAACTTGTGTATTGCCAGTAATCTCAGTACAAGTCTATCATACTCAGACATCTGATCCCTATCAGATTTCACATTTTATACCCTTGAGAAAGCAGATGCAATGATACTTTGTTGGATTGATAAACTTTATCTCCATGTTGCAAAGGCATACTGTTCCAGTTAATTTGAGATCCTGTCATTTTCATACTTTTGGCACTGGAGGAACAGAATGTTTCAGGACATGTAGGATGCATATAAAGCACCCCTATGGTGATTCAGATTATTGGTTAGTATTTTCTGATCTGATTAGCAGATTCTAGGTCATGTAGCCCCCCCCCTTCATTCTCAGGTGGTCCATTAGCTGGGTAAGATAAGACTTTGAGCAAAGGACCTATGCACGCAAGCAACATGTTCTGTCAATGAGCTATGAGCCCTACCTGATGTTAACTTCCTCTTTTCTTGGTTTATGCTTTAACACGTACTTGGCAATAAGCTTTTACAAGGCACTTTTACAACAGCACTGGAAAAGCAGACTTTAAGGGCCAGACAGCCATTTGGCTGTGCTGGCTCTCAAGAAATTGGGCCAGGGGTATTTCTGTAGTTAAAAGCATATGCATTTATTGCAAGTAGATAAATTTCTTTTCTTGGTTTATGCTTTAACACTTACTTGGCAATAAGCTTTTATTCCCAGGGCACTTTTACAACAGCACTGGAAAAGCAGACTTTAAGGGCCAGACAGCCATTTGGCTGTGCTGGCTCTCAGGAAATTGGGCCAGGGGTATTTCTGTAGTTAAAAGCATATGCATTTATTGCAAGTAGATAAATAGGTACCACTTCGGTGGGAAGGTAACAGCGTTCCGTGCGCCTCGGTGTTTAGTCATGCCGGCCACATGACCACGGAAACGTCTTTGGACAGCGCTGGCTCTTCGGCTTTGAAACGGAGATGAGCACCGCAACCCTCGAGTCGGATTCGACTGACTTTCGAGCAAGGGAACCTTTACCTTTACCTATGACTGATTGTTTAACCCTTTCTGTCCAATATTTATAAAGTGGTTGAACTGTTTGAGAAATAACTTTAAACAAACCAACATCTATGTTGTTCAGAATCATATAAAACTCTGTATCTTACTTTGCATTGTTATAACTGGGCACTTCTTTTAATGTCAAAGCAACTGCTGCAGTATAGATCAGGGTTTCCCAACGTGGTGCCCATGAGGGCCATGGTGCCTGACAGTACTTTCCTTGGCACTCACTGAGCTTTTCAGAAAGTGGAGTGTAAGGCAGAGCTTGTTATTGGCTTCCCTCATTTAAATGAAAAGATTTTCCATTGGAAAATGAGAAGGACTGGCAAGCAGCTGGGTTTTCCTAAATCTGTGTATGATTCCATTCTCCCTTCAGGAGGGATGTATCCCATTTGTCTCTGCTGCTGGAGGTGGCCATTTCTGTTTTGGCTCCAACTCCTGTGGCATCATTTTGGGGTGGTGCACACTACTTCCTCTCAAAATTCCAAAGGTTCCTGCAGCCTCAAAAAGGTTGGGGACCCTTGGTGTAGTTCACAATTACACACCCTCTAAAAAAACTACTAAGTGGCCATATGTAACTCAGTGTCTTTTACCTTCAACTCACCACCCTGTTGACAATAATACCAAGCAGTATGGTTAAGAGTAGGGATGATTGTGACATCCTATTACCTCAGCTTTCACAAGCAAATCTGACTATCCCTCCATCATAGTGCTCTTTGGATCATAACCCAGTATATGAGAAATCTGATGAGCAATCTAAAAGAGACTGGGTATTTTTACTTCTACTGCAAACAATGGGCATTTTTTTTATTTAATGCCCTTCTTTTTCAATACTATGGGACTTAGTCCCATAGGTTTACATGTCTGCAGGTCCAAGAGAAAAAGCACATACACCCATATGCTGCAGAATAGATACAGAAGTCATAGAAAGAAATAATTTTTAAAAAACCACTTCATGTCCTGGAAAATATTTTTAGGGTGGGTTTTTTTTTTAATGGCACACACAGGTATAATTTTGGTGGATGTTAAATTATTTTTGTTTCTTTGTTGCAGAAATGCACTCTTGCAATACCATAAGAACAAACAAACAAAAATAAAAATTGAAATCATTCCTTTCCATGTTGATTTTAGTAGGTTTTTCAAAAGGAATTTGGCACACAAAGTTCCAGTTTTAAAGGAACTTTTTATGTTGTGACATATAGGTGCTCCTGACTTTTCCCACATTCTTAAGGTTGTGGAAGGGCTCATCCAGAGGAATCACATGCATACCTGTCTGTGGTTTCCACAGACCCCAAACTAATACAAAGGAGTCTTTAATGTTCTGTCTTTAATATTATGTTTCTGCATCCCAAAGTTCTCCATCATTCAGCAGAAGATCATTGGAATGAAATCCCTGGACTATAGAGAGAAAGATCCCTAATATGGGTGGAGTTTGACAACTCCAGTCATCCTTAGTTGTAAGGATTGTTGAAAGAACATTCATGAAGCCCTTTGAACCTTAAAAAGTGTTTTATAAACAATCAAACAATATTTGACTCTTGTTGATTTCAGAGGGAGAATCAAATGTATATTCAACTCTCTACCCTTGATGTCACTGGGTCTAAGTAATGCTAGATTTGTTGTATCATCCCCTAAAGATTGTTACTTTATATTATACTACACAATATTCTCAAATTTTTGTATACAACACTTTTCTGTTTCAAGAATGTGCCATGATTTGTCTATCCAAGTCACAAATAAAAATGTTATTCCATTATTTAACACTTTCTAATAGAGTAGGAGGGAAGCAAGAAACTTAACATTTGTGGTAATGCAGAGATAAATGCATAATCACTTGCCAGGGCTGCAGCCAGGGCCGGCTCTCCTGCTAGGCCAACTAGGCACTCGCCTAGAGTGGGAGGCCCTGGATGGGGGTGCTGGGCCCTGGATGGGGGTGCCGAAGTTTGCCTCCCCCCGCCAAAAGCCAGTGCTGATCCCCGAGGCTCCCTTCCACATCCCTCCCACCTGCCCGGACCCTCTCCAGCGACCCACGGCCAGCGGGGAGCGGCGCCGGCAGAGCGGGCACATGAAGAAGGGAGCCAACACTGGGGCTGCGCTTGCTGCCACCTGCTGGGGGAGCCAAGGCTGCTGGAGCTGCTGCAGGCGCCACCAGGCAGGAGGTAAGCGCGCCCTGCTGCCGGTGCCTGAGCCAGCCAGCCAGCCCTTCGCCCTGAGATCGCACGGCCCTTTACCCTCTCACCCACCTACCTCCTCCCACTGCGGGCACTCGGGCAGAGGCAGCGGTGGCAGCTCCAGGAGCAGGTAAGGAGTGCTGCCAAGAGAGGGGGTAAAGGGCTGCGTGGTCCCGGGGCGCGCCGAGGTGGAGGGCTGTCTGATTCACACAATCCCCCCCCCCCATGCGCAAACTTGAGGCCGTGGCGCTTTCTTTCTGCTGGCGCCTGAGCCAGCCAGCCAGCCAGCCAGCCCTCCGCCTTGGCACGCCCCAGGACCGCACGGCCCTTTACCCCCTCTTGGCAGCGCTCCTTACCTGCCGCTGGAGCTGCCGCCACCTCCCCCGACCGAGTGCTTGGCCCCCCTGCCGCTGGGTTCCTGGTGGGGTGGTCTATAGGCCCCACCGGGAGGTTGGCATCTGCAGTGTGCAGCCTCGCCAAGGACGCAGCCTCGCCTCGGGCCGGCCCGGGCTGCAGCTGCACATAATTTTATATTGTGCCTCCATTACACTGTTGCAGTCATAAGCAACTGAACTGGCTTGTTCATAGAAGAACATTTGGTTAGAAATGATTGCTGTAGGGCAATATACAATAATGCCTGGATGCATCCCTGTATTGAGTTTTCTATAGAAAAGAAAAAGTTGAAGAGAATAGAGCATCCTGAGAATATCAGTGTTATTCTTATATAAAAGGAAGGTTTCTACGCTGCAAGGCTGCAACAATATGCTTGGAGGAATGCAGATGAAACCTTGGAGGTGGATGGGGGGGGGCTTCATTGCCCACCATTTTGCTCAGTTTTTCTGTGTAAGTGCAGCAACAATGGCTGTACCCACAATCTAATATGTGTATAATACACTTACTTTTAAAGTGTACTATCAATATTTAACTTGGTTACTTAGCACGGCCTTCTCATTATGGGTCCTCATGCAAATACTTGGCAGGCATTCTGTTTAAAATCCTGTACTGAACACTCACATGCAAAAAAGGTCAAATGCTGTTATCACATTTTGTAACAGTAACATGCTCATAATTCCAGACAGCCATGACCTCCTTGTATAGGAATTTTGCTTCTCTCATGAGATTGCATGCTATTGATTCAGAGATATCAATGGGCTTTATTAATGATGATCTCCAAAATACCTCTCATTTAGATGCATTAATGGCCTTTGGGTTATTTTGTAATAACTGTTCCATTAACATGTGATGTGTCTCTGAATGGACTGAAAAAACTGCACTTATGAAAAGATTCTTATGAGTAGCCGAGCTTGTGTTTCAAAAAGCAGCTGTATAACTATAATTAATCTAACACCCCATAGCTCCAGCTGTCATCCTTGGGAATTGGATGAGGTCAAAGGAGAAGCATCTTAGTCCTTAGAATCTTAAATCTGCCACCTGCAAGGTATAACTGAAGATTCAAGTTATTACACAGAAAAGGACAAGGTAGACCTTTGCTGTAAGGTTATCTAATGTTTCTGAAGGAATATTCAAAAGATCAAGTTTGTCTTAAGTTTAAAAAGGCACCATCAATGTATGTTTTTGGAATAAGCTGCTGCTAAATCAAATCATCCTTGAATGGTTTAAATGGGCTGAAGTTCCTTTAAATTATTAATGAATCTAAATTATAATAATTCCCACCCATTTTCTTTGTCACAGTTAACAGATATATAGCCTGACCTTCCTCTTTAATAAACTGGTTAGGAAACAGCTAATATTTTACAGACTTTAGGCAAGTCTCCAAAAGTCAAACATTGAATCCTAGCTTGCGTTATATGTGACTATTCTTCTCTGATTTGCTTTTTTAAGCCTAGTAGGCTGTTTTTAAATACTATTAAAGTAATGTGTTTGATTTTACATCAGGTAAAGTAATTTTAATGGATGAAGGCACATAACTTCAGAGCTAGCATGCAGGCAGCACAAACTTTACTTGGTGTGTGTGTATAGAGGGATTATAGGAAAAAAGTATTCTGCAAGCATACATCTTCACGTAGCACTCCTAGGAGCCCATGTCCTTGAATGCTGTACTTTTGTTTCACTAGATTCTTCACCACACTCTACAGTTCAGTGATTATGCTTGCCATGCTGTTGTTCTTTTAAAAAATCTATATTTATGCTTGGTCTGGTTTCAGCATATACCCTATCCAAGGAACTATGCAGACAAAACAGAAAGTTGTGCACTTGACTCGGGCCCGTAGCTAACGTGGGGCTCATGGGGCCCGGCCTCCCTGTTTTTGTGGGCCCCTCACCCGATCTTCAGCTCCCCCTCCCTTCTTCCCTCCGGCCCCCTCACCCCCTGATTGATCTGGGCCTGCAGCTCCCTGTTTGAGCTCATCTGAGATGAGGTGAGTATCTTTAGGAGCCAGCAGCAACCGGTGGTTGACTGAGTCACACACACATTGGTCGGATTGTGGCAGTTAGCTCTTCCTGTTGGATTTTCTGCGCCAGGCTTCAGAAAAGATCGTAGGCTCAGGGAAGGAGTGGGGGAGGAAGCTTGATCCCCACTCTCCTTTTTTTTTTTAAACACGGCAGCTTTCCTAGACCTTTTAGTGTCTATTAACATTGGTATTCTGGCTCGCCTCAGAGGAAGGCTCTAGTGGGGGCTGTGTGGGTGTACGCCAAGCAGACCCCCCTTGCCCTGGAGCCTTTGATGTAATTAGCTTGTGGGCCCCCTCAAGGCCCCCTCCCCAAAAAATCCCTAGCTACGGGGCTGACTTGACTCTTGAAGTGTTCTCTGTTTCTATAAGACGTGGTCGACACTGTGCTGGATACACTGACATCCTGTTTGGCAAAAGACCATATAGGCCTAACAGTGCAATCTTAAACAGAGCTACACCCTTCTAAGCCCATCGTTTTAGAAGGGTTTAGCTCTGTTTGTGCCGAGAGTGGGGACCAGCCCATTGTGGGGTGGGGGGAGAAGGATGACACAGACACACCATGCTGGGAGGAATTTGCTGAATGCCAAGCACCCCTTCAGCCTGCTCCTTTCAATCTGAGCTGTGTGCCAGGACAAGCCTGCAGATCTGTGTGACCCACCCATTTCATGATGGACCGACCTCTGGGGCAGGCTGCAGGAAGCTGCTGGAGAGCTGACTGGGTGATAGCCAGAGCTGGGCCCGATTGCCCCAAATTATTCTTGCTTCCCCCCCGCAGGCACAAATGGCCCCTGCAGCCTATGGCTGGGAGCCTGTCTTAGGACTGCACTAGAAGTCTGCTACTGATGCTTGTCTTTCCCCATCCCCAAATAAGTAGTGAGTGACATGAGAACTAACAGCACTGATGAAGTCTTAATAAATACAGAACTAGTGGGTTGTTTGTATAAATAAATAAATGTTCTGGTATCTGATTTCATTTTTTTATTTAATGGCATACTATTAAGCTATATAAGGGACAGTAAGCATCTATCAGCCATCCTGCTGTTCCTGTAATTATAACAGGTAAATACACAGTATGGGAGTGAGGCAAGAAAGAATGAGGCACTCGATTTCTAATACAATAATCCTAAAACACATTGCTACTTTTGTTGTCCTGTGAATCAATTTCTTAGTGATTTTGAAATAATTACAGTACCTGTTCACTCTGTATACAATAGACCCTGCCTGCTGCACAGTAGGCAATAGCTCTTTTGTATCTGGCATATTGATCAGAAATTCCCTCATCTACTGATTATTTTGTGATGCCATATTAGGCCCAATATCATCATATCCTGTGTTCATTTTAAGATAGATATATAGCTATATGCTGAAGCCACGGAGCAGAAGAAAGTTGGGCTGGTGCATTGCTACATGAGAAATCATCTTTTGATTATAAAATACAAATTAATTTGAAAGTGTATTACAGTATACCCTTTATCAATTTCTAATTATGCAGATACATTGTCTATTTCCGTGCAAATTCATGTCCAAAAAATCCTGTGAATAGTCTAATGATCTTGAAATGTTGGGTATTCCCCTTGGGTAAATTAGTGGCTACAAGGCATGGTGACTAAGGACCCTCCACATTCAGAGGCAGTAAACTGCTGGATCTCAGTGCTAGATGGCAACATCAGGGGACGGCTTTGGCCTCTATGCTTTGTTGTTGGACACTGTGAAACAGGATGGTATAGCAGATGGACTACTGGTCTGATCCTGGAGCTTTCTTTTTATAATAAGTGGAATTCTGGTTGTTTCCTTTACTTAAAGTTTGCATATCTGAAGAACTGGATACATGAGATATATTTTAAAAGGTATAAAATGATAGCATCTAGGGATCTGCATAGGAAAGAACTGATCCCCTTTCAGTATTTGTTTGATAAATCTTTTAGGGCTATGTCACACATTCCACATTACCTATGTATTATTTTTATATAGGAAATTTCTGATTAATTTTTGAATTGGCAAATTCACAGTTTTTCATTCATTTACATTATATTTTTCACTGCAATTAATCTATGAGCAATTGTGTATTTTTTATTTTTGTTTGCAGTGTCTTGTATGAGCGTACATTTGCATCAGTTAAAAATTGGTCAGGCAAGAGATGGGATATGTAGTTCTGTATGTATCAGATACCATCCAACAATGCATCATAATGCAGTCTGTGACAAGCAATTGTTGTCTTCCCAGGCTGCAGAGGAAAAGAGGAAACTATGCTTGTGCAGCAGTCTTCTCAAAGTCCAGAAATTTTATAAGGGCAAAAAATTCATAAGCAACCTGCACTACCTAGTGGTGGATTCATCCACTTGTAACATTATAGAGAGAGTTGTGTTGGCTGCGCTTGGGCATCTTTAGCAGTCAGAAAAGACAGAAAGATGCTAACATGCATATGCTGTTGCCTGGTGCACCTGGTCATCTGGCTGTTCCAGAAAAAGACTAGACAACCATCTATTCTGTATATTCAGATCAAATAAATACTGGAGTCTTTAATTATTTAAATATTGTTTTGGTAGATGTTTATTGAACAAAATAAGTTGAAAAGGCAAAGCCAGCTTCTGCTGCAAAGCTCAGACCCTGATGAACAACTTCTAAAAGCTCTGGATGAAAATGCAAAACTAAATGTAATGTTAGAGGAAGAGAGGTCACAACACAGGCAAAAGGTAAGAGTTGTACTCAGGGGCCTTGTATTTATTTGTTTTTGACTCTGATAGTTAAGTGATGAAGGATGCATTTAGATATCCTGACCAATCTGTAATGGCCACCAAACATGGCTTGTTATCATGCTTTTATTCTTCTTCCCCCCTTTTCCCTTCTTATGTGTAGAGTCATTGAATAGTTTCTGGTTTTGGAAGTCTGCAGTCAAAATCCAATTTTTATGGTGTCTGAATAAATTAGAGCTTGTTTCCTTCCCATGAAAGGGATTCTAAACCATGACAATTGAACTCAGATGCTTCTGCTGAGGTGGCCTGCCTGGAGGGTATGTAGGTGGTAGGGCAAGGAGGAGGGGAGCCCTCTGACACCCCCCAGCTAAAACCACTGCAAAGACAGAACCACTGGAGGCAAGCAGGTGGGTGAAGGATGGGGGAGCCTACACTATTGAGGCCACAGTGCTGGACATGGGGAGACGGGTGAGGAGGAATAGGTAGAGCCTCCACTGGCCCCTGCTGAAACTAATGCTGGAGTGGGTTGAAGGGCAAGGAGGTGGTGGAGTCCCCTGCCACTCCCGCCATGTCTCCTCTATCACTGGTCCCAGGAAGGACAGCAGTGAGGGGGGATGACCTTGGGCAAGCCATAGTTCTGTCTCAGCCCCGCCTACCTCACAGGTTGTCTCTTGTGGGGAGGGGAAGGGAAAGGCGTTTGTAAGCCGCTCTGAGACTCCGAGTGAAGGGCGGGGTATAAATCCAATCTCCTCCTCCTCCTCGTATTGTTAACAGCCATGCTTAGGTCTTGCAAACTGAGGGCCATGGACAAAATTCCCCTCTAAGAGTCTCCTGTTGAGTGAGAAGGGAAGTGATGAGCTGCCTGCCAAGTAGTTGGTCCAGTGAGGAGTGGGATTCCCCCATGTATTTTGTAGGTCCCCATTAGTAACATTCCATTACAGTGTTAAAGTGAGAAGCATTTACTTGTCTAACATACAGAGCAGGCTCCATAATGAGATGAACTGAGGCAGTTCTTTCAGATGGCAGATTCTCCACCCGTCCAACCTCCACCCCTCTTGCTGCCAGACAGCCAGCTGCCAGCCTGCCACCCCTACCTGGGAGCCAGAAGACATATTCTACAATCCTGCAGGCCTCTTTAATAGTAGCATGGCAAGATACACATGCTAGTTCCCAAATCTTCATTAGGTTATTTCTTCTCATAAGAATCTGGCCACCATGTCTGGTTTCCTGTTACCAGCACAACCAAAACTTTGACTGAACTCTTATGATAGGAAGTAATCTCATGGAAGTTCAGAAAGTCCTTTAAGGCATGCTTAGTCTGTCAAACTATTTTTAAAGAAAACAGTGGCAACGAACAGGTAAGAAGTATTTTCTCTGGCTGCTAGATGGGGCATCAGCCATGATGAGATGCAGATTGGCTTGCCATTACCCCAGAAAGCTAAACATTGAGCTGCTCTTGAACATATCTTGCTTCATACAGCCCTAAAGCCAAAAGAAAACTTTTAAATGTGCAATATTTTAAAAGATTGCTGAAAGACACCATCTGATTCCAAAGACCACAATGTGGCACCTTGGTGATAGTCCACTGTAAGGTTTCAAAGCATTTTCTCCACATCTACAAACTACCTGCATTATTGTAGAGTCCAAAGAACAGCTAAAGGGCCTGTGGTACTGTTACTTTGTTGAACCCCAGGTTCAACCTTAGCCTGGTCAGTGCCCATACTAGAAATGCCCAAGGTGTTTCACTGTAGCTAAGCCTGCTTATTCCTTCAGCTATTTGGGGTGGTATTATCTAAATACACAGCTTGTCACTCTTTTCAGGACACGCAATGGAACTATCATGTGCAGTTCTTCACGTAGAAGAGGGCTGCTGAACTTGCAACCGTTTGTTTTAATCCAAACAATCTTTCTGGCCTGAAGCATTCAGCAAAAACATGAAGCTTAATGAACAAAGCAGACTACGTTTGGGTTGGTGGGTCTCCAGTCAAAGAATCTCCATTCTTCAAATCAGATAACTGTGTGAACAGAGACAGTCAGTGCAGTCCTACACTGATTTACTTCTATGTTCATTGATTTAAGTGGACTTAGAATGGGAAAACTTGGCCTAGGATTCTGCAATGTTGTGGTATTGTTCAGACACTGAAGGAAGGATTCCTTCCAACTCTAGTTGTGACATCCAAACACAGGTACCTGAGCTAACTGGGAATGGTTTGTTTCCCACCACCACAGTTGCAGAAGGCAGGGGAGGAGGAAGCTCCCAGGAGACAGTTGTCTATACAGACACAGACAACTAATCTGTTTTGAGGGTTTGTTTGGAAACCAGCTCTGATTTGCGAATATACCACGCTGACTAGAAGATATATTGATAGTGATAAATCCAGTAGAGTCATATTGATTTTAATCAGTAGTGAAGATTTTAGCAATATAATTTACTGGAAGTAACTAATTTGCTATTCCTGATTTTAAAAAATGGATCATAATTGTTACAATTAAGCCATGTGAATGCACTATGATTCTAAACCACAGTTACAGAAGGCAGGGGAGGAGGAAGCTCCCAGGAGACAGTTGTCTATACAGACACAGACAACTAATCTGTTTTGAGGGTTTGTTTGGAAACCAGCTCTGATTTGCGAATATACCACGCTGACTAGAAGATATATTGATAGTGATAAATCCAGTAGAGTCATATTGATTTTAATCAGTAGTGAAGATTTTAGCAATATAATTTACTGGAAGTAACTAATTTGCTATTCCTGATTTTAAAAAATGGATCATAATTGTTACAATTAAGCCATGTGAATGTTCCCATTTCACAAAACGCAAGCAGCAATCACTTCTCAAACATACTTATTTTATCTTTTTATCTTATCAGCTTTTTAAATGTTCTTCTGTTTTACAGATAGTTTTATGCTGCTTATATCTAATTGCTTTTTTATACTGTGGTTTTTTTAAATTGTAAGTCACCTCAAGCAAGACTCTGAAGAGGCGGCATAGGAATATTCTAAATAAATAAATAATGTGTGTATGTATGTACTGAAAGTAATTGCCAGCTTCTGAGAAAGGATGGTTTTCTAGGTTTGACCAAATTGTGTCTATTAAAGGGTAGGGAAGTCTTTATTTTATTGTTTCTCAGCACTTCAGCTCAAGTGTTCTGTAATTCACCCAGTGCAAGCAGCAGGGGTTAGGGGGAAAGTGTGTGTGAATAATAACCGTTAACAGATGCAGGCATTGAATAACTTACATTAGCATTTCATTGCTTGAGGTTTTTTAAAAGTAAAAATGTATGTTCTTTCAAAACTCTCCTTTAACACATTTAGGCACTTCAATTTTGGAAATGTTTTGTAAAACTGAAAACATTGTAATTTTCAGTACAAACTAAATGATGCGAGTTCCATGGCTCCTAACAGGGAATGTTTTTTCTAATTGCTTTTCTTATACTATAATTTACCATTTATGCTCAACATCAGGCTGTATTCTAAAAACAAGTGCGACTGGAACTAGAAGACACCTCTGGAACTTAGCATGTTACTGTTTTCAGTAGTAGAGGTGGCCAATCTAACCAGAAAGCTGAAGCATACAACAGTTCATAGGGTTGGATCCTAAAGAAGCACGAACTCAACGAGTTCACAGAAGGGATTTTTGTCAGCTTTCCCTTCTTGCTGCCATCTCCTGTGCACCCCCCAAAGCTACTCATGAAGTTCTGAGGACGTTTGGATTGGTGAGGGATGAAGCAGTGGGAAGGGACTGTAGCTAGAAAGAGGAATCAGTAGACATCTCCTCCATCTCTTGCATGAGTTCTGCCACAGCAATGGATTTCTGCCAATATTCTCTTCTGCCCACAGCCCCCTGTGCAGCTCCATTCTTGATCTGCCCCCCCCAACCCCCAGTCTAGGACAGTGGTCTGCTTTCCATGAATTCACTCTTTTCACAGTTCTTTTGGAAATGCTTTAGCATAGAAAATGGTAACTTGTGCAGCATCCCAAGAATGTGACCTTTCATTTAAAGAAGATGACATTTTTAGTCCATAATGAATAGGCAGTTTCTACAGGCTGGATCAGAATGAGGTTCTCTTCCGCACCGGCTCCCATGGTCCTCAGTTCTTTTTTAATTACCATTTCTGCATCCATGCTTTTAATAAAAGAGCATTTTTTCAATAAATATAAAAAAACAAAGCCCAGATCATACAGCCATACTACTCTAAGCAAATATTTAAATTTACAAAATACACATATGGTGTTATAACACGTGGAAATTCTAAACTTCTTGAGAGCAACTGAGATTGTATGAAGCGTCTGATGCTTCCATGAGTGGGAATACTGACATTTATAAAATGAAGGCTTGCACAAGGAAATCAAATCCCTTAAACAACAGCTAGAACTTCTAGAAGAAGATAAAAAGGAACTGGAGGAAAAATATCAGAATGCAGAAGAAAAAGTTAAAAATCTAAAACATTCAGGTAAAGTTCTTGTTGGCAGTTTCACTTTTAGTCTTGGTATAATGGATACAGATTCAGTAGTGGATAATGGATGCAGACTTAAATCATGTATCTTTGAAATCCAGCCAGGAACATTCAATCATTGCATTACCTTTAATGGGCTTCCACATTTCATAATATGGAATCTCCAGGCTACATCTGCAATACTATTTTTTAAAAATGAGATTTCCTTGATAATTTCAAATTTCTTGTTCAGGAATCTAAAATGTATTTCTAGGCCCAGTTAAATAAGATATTTCACAGTTTTGGAAATCAAAATTCATAGAACATGATGTTTTGGGAAATGTTTTGACATACAATGGAGATGTATCATGCTACAATGACCAGTTAAACAGAAAAATCTTTTGTACCTTCCTAAATGGGAGTGCTTCCAAATGTAGAAGTTAGGAAGGGATTAAAATGATCCACACAGACATTCTAGATATAGCATTTATTAGTATATTCAAAGAAACAATTTAGCCCTTCACAGCGAGTCAGGAGGCAACAACTCCCACTATGTGAAGTTTTTTTCTGCCTTGTGTTATTGGCCCTTATGTGATTGACATTTAAAAACTAAATGCTGTGTTGACGGCTATGCAGAAGGAATTAAAGTTGCAACTCCCATGGGTGTTAATGGCTAAAATCCATGGGAGCTGTGTGGTTAATTCTCTGCACATCAGGCTAAACATTTACCCCTCACTATCTGACTGTAGAAACTGTCTGACTTGCTGGCTATTATTTGTCCAGTTTATAGGTTAAAGCAAGACATCAGGAACACTGACAAAATCACTTAGAGTACATACAGTATGGAGTAACTACTGTAATTTAGTTGTTACCAAAGACTTATTTGCCAGAATGGTGCCTGACCAGCTTACAGCATCGTACCTATTAAATGCTAAAAACTGTAATTTACCACTCTTTATCTAAGATTGCCATTTCTTAATAAATTCAAAATACAGTTACCAGCAGGGGAAGTACTGTTTAACTATCCTAAAGCAGCTGGATTATGTGGATTGAAAATGTCAAAAGAAAAACATACTAATGCCTTTGTGCAAGGTCCTAAAACTGTTTTACAGTGTTGTGTGTTAATTTAATCACAGGCTTGTAAAGTAACTGGAAAACCTATGGAACTTACCAAGGGGACTTGCTCAGGGACCATTGTAGGATCTGAAATGAATTACCTGAGTATGTGTTGACTGAATTTCAGCTTGATAGCATCCTTTAATGTCTGATTATTCAGCTGTTGCTTGAATGCTAACAAATAATGGTTGTTTACATTATGAAAAAGGGATAAGTAAGATTCCACTAACAATCTTCAGGGGTTTAGAAGCAATAATATGTCTACTGAAGCAGAAAATAAACAGGAACCTAGTGGCATTTTAAGACTAAAAAAAATTTCCAACATAAATCTTCATGGGCTAGATTCCACTTTTTCAAATGCAAAGACAGATATGAAGAAATGGACTCCAGTTCATGAAAGCATACACTGGATCATAATTGTGTATGCCTATTGTTAACTGTATCATGCTTTCTCCGCACAGAAGAAAAGCTCATATACTCTCCTAAGTGTTTTTAATCATGATTTTTGCTGTAAAATGTAAACAGGTAATTCTTATTTCAAAAAGTTGCTTTAGCTGCACATTGCCAGGTGTACCAACTGCAAAAATGACAAATTTTGTTTTGGATTTCCCCTTCCTACCACATTATACCCAGTGTTGTTCCTAGTGTAACCTGATCCTTGGAACAATGTGGTGGGGGGTTTTCTGTAAATGGAGCACTACTTATGGTACTTTGGATAAACCCCATTTTAATTACAAGGTCCCCCCCCCCTGTACAGTAATTAGAAACTTACTTTGTTTTGGCAACAAACTATGAAGTCATAGAAGTAATAGAAAAGGGAATGCTAGTTGCCCAGCATGTTAGTGAACAACCATTTTCTGTTAAAGAAATTGCTTAAATTCTGTTTACATGGAAGCAAGAGTGTTTTAACTGGGGAATAACAGCATTTTCATTTATTTCAATTCTTTACACAGTTGATGAACTTCAAAAAAGGATACACCAGTCAGAAAATCTAATTCCACCCCCTCCTCCTCCACTGCCACCTCCAGTTCCTCCTCCAAATCCAATAAAGTAAGTTAAGTATACATTGAAACTTCAGACTTTTTGCTTAGCAAAATATGTGCTCTTCAGATTTAAGCTAGTTAAGACCAGTGAATTCTAGCACCGAGTAAATTTTGTCAAGGTGGTGTAATCACGATGGCCAGATCCTAGAACCACCCAACTGTTGCCTTGCATCAATGAATTTTGTTATAAAAAAGTCAGCCCAGAATAATGGTGATGCCAGACTCACTAATCTGTATTTCAGAGTGCTTTCAAAAAAAATTCTGCTCAATAATAAGGCTGAAATTTTAACTTTAACTGCTAAAATTACAGTTGTCAATTACAGTTACAGTTTAATATGTGATCCGAAAGTGTTTCAGTTATTTTATAACCATGCAATCAGGATAACTATTGCAGTAAAGCTGTGTGCTCAACTAGGTTGGTTTGACTGCTAGGCAATAAGAAACTGGCAGATCCCATTGCCTTTCTGCTTGAATATAGAGAAGAAACGCTTTTAAGAAACTTTAAATTAGATTCCCCCCACCCCAAGCATTACATTTATGGCAAGGGTTTATGTATCAATTTTTTTTTAGCCTTTTGACTGCTTTTTAAATGTTCTGCACTGCTTTCCGCTGAGGTCTAGTCATAAAGGGACATGTTCCCATGGGTCCTGCTGAGATTTGAGCTCCTTATCTCATGTCACTTCTTGGAAAATAACAGTTTAGATTCTAAAATATAGTCCTCTTCCTCTCCTAATCTTAGTTTGTAAGATTTCATAACTATCTGAATACTCAATGATTCTGAGACGGCAACTGATTTTAAATATACTCTTTATCATGGAAAATTTTTCATCAGAACTTTTTGTGTAAGGGTTCACAAATCTGGACACGTGTCTCCTCCTCTGATGGCCATCCTGACCTGGCCAAGATTCACTCCTCCCCCACCCAAGCTTTTCATAAATTTCAAACTGGTCATGGGGTAAAGTTCTTCATCATGCCAGGTGTGAGAAGACAGCATGTCTTGCCTGCTGCTTGATAGTCCTGAGTCCTCAGGCCTGTACAGAAGCAGCATGGGTTTTTTGCTTCTCTAAAATCGTATGTAAAATGAAATGCCAAACCTGTTCCTTCCTGAGTTCTGTGTGGGTATGCCTAAAGGGAGAATGCTAAATGGTGACTACTAATAATTACTTGTTTCTGACCTGAGCAGAAATTTTATGGACCATTTTTATCTATGCTGAAAGGTAAACAACTGATTTGTTTTAATGGCAATCCATCCTCCATACCATGATTGAGCCAGTCAAATGAATTTCTAAACAGTCCTATTCTATTTATAGGTGTACATGTTCTGCCTTCCTTTATCTTATTTGGCTTACTGGATCTATTTCCTCAGCCCAGCTTCAGTTTGCACTTCCAGTACCATTTAGGCTCATTTGAGGAAAACAGCTCCTCTCTTAATTCTTCTCATTCCATCAACCAACATGCTCAATACTGTCTCTCTTTAAAAAATTTCTGTTGTATTGCAAAGCAAGACAAATGTATAATCCATTTAAAACCAGATAAAATCAATGCAGATAATTAATCATCTAAAACTCAGAAGGATTTAAAGTCATGCCATATGTTTATTCCTTCACCAGCTGAATTTACATGATGTGTTACTTCAAATAATCTGTTTGCTTTAGTTTGACAGGACTTTTATGAAAATGTCCACAGAATGCCAGATCTATAAAACTCTGGACCAGCATTTTATATTAGCGCCATGGCCCTGGTGTAAAAATATATGATCCTTCTAACTTCATGAGATAAGCAGCTTGACAAACTGATAGTCTATTTTTATTTACATGTTAGTATTTTGAAGTTTAAAAGAAAGCCACACTTTTCTGACTAAACATGGCATACTTTCTAATCCCTGTATTTATTATGAAAGATTGTATCAAAGTCTCCCAATTTAAATACAACACCCCACACAGCAGACCACAATAGTAATATCAAAACATGACAGTGAGCTTGACATACAATGGGGGAAAGTATGATAAGCTTTAATCGGTATAAAAATAAACATATTTAAGGTGTTGCTCAAATGGTGCCTCTGAAGAGCAATATGAAGCTGCCTTAGACCATGCAACATCTACCTCGGTATTATCAGTTTTAATAAAGACCATATCCAGAATTCAATAAAAAAGTTACTTCATGTCTAAGCTTTGTTATTGGCCTTGTTTTCTCCACCTTCAGCCATTTAATAATAGATACCTTTTTATCTAAGTCTTCTTGCTTGTGTGGTAAATCTTTTTGGACTTTCACATAACTAACATTCAAAACTTTCTATTTTCAGACAAAAATATGTATTTTAATCATTCCAAGGTTAATAGTAACATTGTGTTTTGACTTTTAGTCTCTTAATGTTTTCCGAGATTTGAGTGGGTGTCATTGGGGCAGGGGGGACGACGAAATCTTAGAATCTTTTTTTTAATTGGTTAAATAATTTTTATTTTTAATACAAACATAGCATAAAATGAGGGCATCCATTACCTCCTTAAGTTTCTTGTTTACAAATCTCATACCTTAACAAAACATTGATTTTGTATATTCCACCTTAAATCATTGTATAGTTCTCTTGCAAATATATAAAAGTAAACTTTTTATTATCCTTAAAGTAAATTGTGAGTCTGTATGTTTTATTTATTGTGTTCTTGAATCCATTTGTAGAATCTTGAGCAAGTATTTTCAAAGGTTGTCTCTGGTTGTCCTTTCAGGATTAAAGTTAATTTATCCATTTCAGCAGTTTCCAGCATTTTATTTACAAGTTCTTCTCTCGAGGGTACTTCCTTTCTCCTCCAGTATTTGGCATAGAGTATTCTTGCTGCTGTTGTTACATGAATTATAAGATAAAAATCTTGTTTTTTACAATTTTCTGGTAAAATAGTCAATAAAAATAATTCTAATACAAAGGGAATAGGGTTTTTAAAACATTTTTTGTAAAGTTTCATGAATCCAAACCCAATATTTTTCGCTTTATCACATAAACACCACATATGATAAAACAATCCAGTATTATTTTGACATTTCCAGCATAGATTTGATACATTAGAATAAATCTTAATATAGAACTTTGCAAGTTTATCTGGGGTAATATACCATCTATAAAACATTTTATAAATATTTTCTTTATATGAAATGGCTTTAGTAATCTTTACATTTTTTCCACACCTGAATCTTAACTACACCTAACAACATACAGATTAGGTGCCTTTTTTATAAGTCTACTGTATCAAAAATCAAATCATTTAAATATGCAATTTAACACATTTTAAATGATGTATTTATTTTATTCAAAGTTTTGCCTCTTATGGAGAATAGGATGTAAATTTTTCAAGCCATTGTAAAACATCACCCCATTCAACCCCAAAAAGAAAGGGCCCAAAGATATAGAAATAGCCCTTTAATTCCATTACATAGTCACAAGACAATCAAGAGAACTCCATAATCATATATTCTGGCTATAATAAGAAGGTTAACTCCTGAAGATTAGTTAGAAGAGGGAGGCTTTATGTTAATTTGTAAATCTTTCCAAAAAAGGTACCATATGAATCTCTTCCAACAAACTTCCAAAATTTATTTATTTATTTATTTATTTGTTAAATTTATACCCCGCCCTCCCCCGCAGGGCTCAGGGCGGCTTACAAGGCAAGAAACTTGCTCATAAAAACATCAAATAGTTTAGTATAATTAAAAACATAATATAGGATTTAAAACCCAATCAACCAATAAAATGCTCAAACTAAACAGCATCCCTTCAAAAGTGTCAGAGAGGACAAACCACACACCTAAACATTCCCCAGTAGGCATTGCATAGGAGATGTTAAGCAGATATTCCAGCTACCCTTCTAGGGCCCTCACCCCCCGCATTGATGTTAATGTAGCGGGGGGGCGGCGGGGGCGGCCCCTAATCGAAAGCCTGGTGGAAGAACTCCGTCTTACAGGCCCTGCGGAACTGCACCAGGTTCTCAAAAGATCATTGTTGGGTTTTTTTGAATTTTTTAAAGTTTATTGAGAGATAATTCATCGTTTCAGCAAAAGGTAAAAAAGCATACAAGACATATACAATCAGTACATCAACAATCCTTAATAACAAGAAGGTAGTTCAACTAGAGAACACACAACCATCAAATAGGAAGATCTCAGACAGTATAAAGCTATGATTTTAGCAAGGGAGGTATCACTATGTAAAAAAGAAATTTAAAAAGTGCTCAGACTAACAAGAAAAGACACCAATTGGGATCATAGGTCAAAAATGAAGCCAGGTGATATAGCTGGAGTTAGAAGAAAGAAGGTCATTGTCTGTCATATATTGCAGTAGAGGAAACCAGGTGCATACAAATTTGGAGTGAGAACCCAAAAGATAAAGCTGTTTAAACAGTCTTTCCAGGTCTTACCAGGCTGTTCCCAAATAGTTCTTTGTCTAACAATGTGCTTGCAGTTGTATAGCTGCAAAACAGGAAGCAGGGGAAAGATAGTTCAGCTTTCCTTTTTCAACTAGGGAAACAGTTCAGCAGAAGTATGGCAACTCAGCAAATAATGAGGGGGCACTTAGACTGTAGTCTTATGCATAGGATTGGGCCATAAGTTTCAAAAAGTGAAAGGCCTTTGTCAACCTTTGTTACTTATTGGTTTCTGGTCCCTTGAATCACTGTATCCTCACTCTCCTGTCTCTTCCTCCTTATGATGGGGTGGGAGTGATAATTATGTAGTGCATCAGTGTGCATGACACTTTACAGACTGCTATCGACACTTCTCCACCGCGCTTACAATCTAACATTTTCCACAAGGGAGGCAACAAAAAGAGTAGAAGGAAATGGAAGTGGGAA